AGTGAAAATAGGGAGGAATTTCTAATGTTGTGAGTTTTGATCACTGCATCCATATTGGTCCATATTCCAAGGTTTTCTTCTAGGCAATTTTCTAATTTCAAATTAATATTTCATATTTTAAATAAAATTTAATTAATAATTCAAATTTTAAATTTAAATTAATATTTCAATATTTCAATTAAAATTAACATTTCACAAAAAGCGGCTATTGTTTGGATTAATTAATGGATTAAAATAAAATTTTAAGGGTTGTTGTTCATGATTAGACGGCAGCCACACCTTCCCACTTTGCATACTTTTTGGTTTTCAAATTTTGTGTTTAGCTATTATATTGTGATCGTTTCCGCTTTGTCATAAGATTTGTAACAATCAGCCTTTTCGACTATAACAACCCATGGTGGTGAGTGTGGGTTTAGTGACGGTTACAGGTAGTAGGGTTGGTTGTGTGTATGAGTTTGTGGCTATATATACATGTGGTGGTTAGAAGCAATTGTTTTAAGGTAGTTTTTTGGGCAATTCTTTCACTCTTCACCTCTCCAATTTTATGTAGTCAACAATGAAAGCACCAAATTTTCATTCCATTGATTTGGGTAAAAAAGATTTGTCTTAACAATTATGTAGTCACTAAATTTTCATTCCAAATTTTATGTAGTCAATGCCTTTCTCAACCTCTTAAAGCTAAATGCCGATTTATAGCTAACTATTTAGTTTTGTGTGGATCCAACTGAAAATATAAATATTATAAAATCAAGGTCATAAACTGATTTTCTCTTTGAGTTATGATCCTTTCATCTATCAGGTTTTTTTTATTCCTTCCCAACAATTGTTGCATGTTAAAAAAAAAGAAGATAAAAGGTGTCAGTTGTACAACTTTTTATTTGTCTTGAATGTATCCCATGCATTGCACGGGTATTAAACTAGTTACTATATAAAAGTAGGGTACAAAGCAGGATCCGATGAGAGATTGCCAAGTGGTCTCACCATGATGCAGATAAATAGGTTTTATTTTTCTATTTTTATAAAAATTGAAATTTTATGCACACCTCCCCTATCTATGCGTTCCTCACCCTATCTTGATAAAATTGGCAGTTATCTCTCATAATAAATTTGCCACTTATCTCACATTATTTCTGTTTAAAGTATTTTAGTTGAGTTGTTATTTACATTTTAGGATTAAAAGTTATCTTAAAAAATATCTTAAGTTTAAAGTTAACAAAAGTTATTTATTCCAAAAATATTTATTGTTTATTCTCATTTGAATTGAGTGAAATAACTTCCTTGATTCTAAAAATCATGACAAGTATAACAGCCATGATATATTTTTAAAATTTGAAATTTACATTAATTTTAGTGTTAATAAATATTTTAAATTTAAAATTAAATAATACAAAAATAATGTAACTTCCCAATCCTATTAACCAATTATTTTTTTTATCTATACAGTTTCAACAATTTAAAAAATATATTTAAATTTTCTCTCATACCTTCCTATTTTTCTTTATTGGTTGCTTCATTAATAATTTTAAATAGAAAAATAAGTGTGAGCATTATTTTATAGATGAGAAATGGCCCATTTTGTCATTTCTTAGTTAATTGAATGGTTTTGGATTTTAGATTTTATAACTGAAATCTACAATATTTAATTTTTAAAAAGCATTATATATATTATCATCAGTCAAATAATATTCCCACTTGAAAAATATAACTGTCTAAAATATAACCGGCAACTTTAGAAACAATAATATTGCATCAGTGTTATAATAATAATAATAATAATAATAATAATAATAATAATAATAATAATAATAATAATAATAATAATAATAATAATAATAATAATATTTACTTAGATATTTAAAAAATAGAGTAAGTGATGAGCGTCCCAATGAAAACAATGAATGCCCCTTTAAGTGTGATTGGGAGGAAGATACACTTCATACTTTGAGAGACTGTGAGGCAGCAAAAAGAGTGTGGTTACTTATGATTAACCCTCTTTATTATTTTGTTTTTTTCTTTGGAAATTTACAGGTGTGGCTTCGGTGGAACATGAAGAACAACCCAGAAGGCAGGAAATTTACAAGATGGCCGTGGAATAGAATCTTTGGAATCGTTTACTGGGTCATCTGGAAAAACAGATCCAGGAAAGCATTCGGGGAGAGTGTAGATCAACCGAGAGACTTAATGCACAAGATCCTATTCCATCTCATGGAAGGGGTAGCTGAAGATAAATATCATCACAAAATCTTCCAGCTTCAAGATCAGAAAGAAACACAACGAGTTTTGCCACCAATGGGTTATGTTCGAGTGGATGTAGATGGATCAAAGAGAGGACAAGGTGAGGCAGCTTGTAGAGGTTTCATCATTGATGAGAACGGACAGTGGAAGTGTGGTTTTCAACAGAAGTTAGGTTTCATTCCATCAACTGCAGCTAAAATTCACGCTATTGGGTCAAGTCTAAGACTTTGTCAAAAGCTAGGATACAAAAAGATCAAACTATACACTAGTTCTCTGGAGGCTATTCAACTGTTATTTATGGATTGTGATCAGTCACACTTGTTAAGGAAAAATATTCAGTGACTGAGAGACGTCATTTTCACTCACTGGGATGTAGACATCATACACTCCTTTAGAGAAAACTTAGAATGTGCTGATAAGCTTGCTAGGATGGCCCATTTAATACAACAGGAATTTTTAGTACTACAGGATATTCCTGGTTTTTGTACAGGATATGTAGAAGCTGAAATAGGTAATATGCCCGAAATAGCTAGTGGACTTGTACGGGTAGTTAACTATCCCTGAACTATCTCAAGCTCTAAGCTTCCCTTTGTAATATTAAAAAAAAAAAAAGAATCGGAGTCAGGGTAGATAACGGTACGGATAGCTATTAGTTTATTTACTTCCACAATTGAACATATTAGAGATTTGAACGGTACAATGAGTTCTGTGATTCTGAATAAAAGCAAGTAGAGGTCTAAAATTTGGTAGCTTGTAGTTGTAGGTTGGACTTGGACTTGGAGAATTTTTTGGGTCCACTTAAAAACTTAGTTCATGTACTATACACGTATATACCCACTCTTAGTAAAAATAAAGTCCTTCCACCATTATTGTGATAACGAGTGCCACAAAAAAGTGGAGTAAGCTCCAAATCATTTTCAAAACATATTTGAAAATCTAGTATTGGAGCATACTGTGCCAGAGGAAAGGGGTGGGAGAGAGGCTTCTTGGTTCTGCCACCTTGCAACTCGCTTGCCTTGGTCTTCTGAGTTTGAAAAAAATGACTCACAGATCGCAATCATATTTATAGCTCTCGAAGAGGCAATCAAATTCACGGTGACCGGTGGAAAAAAAACCAAACCATAAATGAAGATCCCACTACCTAGAGAGGGGACCCCACAGCGCCGTAGAAGAAGGATTATCGTGCAAAAAAAAAAAGTGAGATAGGACCAAAGATAACACAAAGAGAACCTAAACGGACAGTGAATTCATACCCCGGCATTGCACGGGTGTTGAATTAGTTGCGTGCAAAAGAGAGAACTTTACATATTGTGGGGGACGAATGGACACGTGACGACGTGTTGTTTAAAAGCGGTGAATTATGTGAGCCATGTTGTGGGCCCATGTCTTGCGCGTTTATATTGTTTGCTGAATTGTCAAAGCAAGTTATCATCAGTTCCCTTCTCTCTCTCTCTCTCTCTATTTTGTGGCCTTATATGTAATCACCAATCACATTTGGAAGCTTCGAAACAATCCTTCTCCTACTGTGATAAGGTGTTTTTTGAGCGTTACACGTTTTTAATTTAAATTAAGAATGATTATTTAATCTCATACGCCCCAATGATCGGACATTTATTATATGCTCCTTTTGATGATCTTATATAAAAGCAATATTTTCTCGGATAAGTTCTTTTACTATATAAAAATAGAATACAAAGCAGGATTTGATGAGAGATTACTAAGTAGCCTCACCATGATGCAGATAAATAGGTTTTATTTTTCTATTTTTGTAAAAATTAAAATTTTATGCACACTTCTCTTATCTATGCGTTCCTCAATAAATAAAGCAAAAAATATTTTCTTTCTTTGTCCTATAAATATAGGATCAGAAAAGTACTCATCTAGTCCTATTTATAAGTTTTGAGACAGAAAATGAAAAAAGACAACATAACAGAAGATGCATACTGAACCAGAGTTCGAACGTTATTACATTCCATTCCACTGAGTGAACAGTAGGAAGTTTAATATATAGAGTTCATTGTCCATTGCAAGAGCAACACGTGTAAAGCAAAAGAAGTATAAAACTGCATCATTCTATTCCCCACTATGGGCTTCATTCAAGCGTTGGGCTTGTTTGTTTGTTGGACTTCAATAATAAGGCATTTCTAACATGTTTTACTCAGATAAATAAAAATCTTAAACTTTATTAACTCATTTAAAATTTAATACTACTTCCGGTTCTAATTATAAAAGCTATTTGACTAATTTGAGAAGATTAAAAAAATAAGTTAAATTAGTTATTTGTAATAAATATGTGTTGTCTTTCTTAAAATATCCTTACTAATCAAGTGTGTTGGCTAAAACTACAATTATTAAAAGGATTATCTTGGTAAAAATTGCATAAATATGAGAGACAAAGTGGATTGAGGTCTTATATTTAGAATCAAAATAAAAGTCAAACGAGGTCTTATATTAAAGACCAGAGGTACTAACTTTTTAACTTTATCCCTATTTAATATACATTATACCTCATGTAAACAAAATCAACATAATAATAATAAGTGAGGGGTAAAACTGTATATATATATATATATATATATATAAAAGATTTCTCTTAGTTCCCACTAAAAAATATCTCTTCCTTAGGACAGGTAGGACCGGAGGAGTAACTAGTAACTCATCAAATAACTTTTGTGTGTGACTATCAATTCCCTTTAAAGGACACCATGGATAAGGAAACGCTGGAAGTATATATTCTCTGTCCCCCGCTTATTGGTCTCTGGGAGGAACAAATTCTAATTCAGCTTCAGAATCAATCTATCCATCTAATCCACTCATGGCTTCATCAATAGAGAGATAAGCGGAAGAGCCTCTTCTCATGGAGCCCAAGGAGGCATCATCAGAAGAGCCGCCCCGAGTAAGGTCGGAGCTAGAAGACGTTCTGACAAACACCGACCTCCCTTACTGGCAGCGCCTCCGATCGGCCACTTGGATCGAGCTCAAGATCCTCTACCGCCTCGCCGGCCCCGCCGTGGTCGTCTACTTGCTCAACAATGTCACCTCCATGTCCTCACAAATCTTTTGCGGCCACCTCGGTAATCTTCAGCTCGCCGCCGCCAATCTCGGCAACACCGGCATTCAAGTCTTCGCTTATGGCGTCATGGTACACTCGCTCTCTCTCTCTCTCTCAAACTATTGGAACATGACGTTTCCTGAATTCTTTGAATTAAACATTAAATTATTCAACAAAGTGTGTCTTTATAAGTTTTTGTCTTGTTCTTATTTTGCAATCAGCTTGGGATGGGAAGTGCAGTGGAGACACTGTGTGGTCAAGCTTATGGAGCTCATAAGTATGAAATGCTTGGCATGTACATGCAAAGATCAATGATTCTTCTAATGGCGACGGCGATTCCACTCACACTCATTTACGTATTCTCCAAACAAATATTACTTCTTCTGGGTGAGTCCACCATTATAGCATCAGAAGCTGCGATTTTCGTGTACGGTCTTATTCCTCAGATTTACGCATATGCGGCCAACTTTCCGATACAGAAGTTTCTTCAAGCTCAGAGCATAGTGGCTCCGAGCGCTTATATATCGGCGGCGACGTTCGCCGCCCATCTGCCACTGACGTGGATTGTGGTGTTTAAGTTGGGCGGCGGGTTGCTGGGGGCGGCGTTGGTGCTGAGCTTTTCGTGGTGGGTAGTGGCGGCGGCTCAGTTTGTGTACATAGTGGTGAGTAAGAGGTGTGAGAGAACATGGAAGGGATTTAAGTTGGAGGCTTTTAGCGGACTTTGGGGTTTCTTAAAGCTTTCTGTGGCTTCTGCTGTTATGTTGACCTTGGAGACTTGGTATAATCAGATCCTGGTTCTCTTTGCTGGCCATCTCAAACATCCTGAGATCGCCCTTGATTCTCTCTCCGTTTGGTAAAATCTCTGTCTGTTAGTTAAATTAAACTTCATTAAAAATTATTTTTGTAAGTATTCTGAAATTTTTTTGACTCAACATCATCCTAAAAATATTTAAAAAGTAGTATTATCATTTTTGTTAAAATTTATTAATAGTCAATGTTAGCTTTTGAACAAAAAGAGCGGCTTCTTTTTTAATATTTACAGGAGATATTAAGAGGTAATATTACCATTTTCGTAAAAATTTATTCGCCAACTGTTAATGTTAGTTATTAAACAAAAAGAGTGGTATGGCTTCTTTTTTAATACTTACGGGATGATATTAAGCCAACAAAAACTTTCAATACATCCCCATTAGCTTTCTTTGTAAATACTTTCAATATACTAGATTTGTTTTGCCTGAGCATTGAATATATATACTTGATTAGGTTGCATTTCATTAGAATCATCTATATATACATCACATATATATATGTATATATATCTCACTACGGAGTTAGGGGAACTACATGGAACAAGAATGTCAGATATGAAGATGTCGCACAGGGTTGATGTTTCTTACTGATTGAATAGATCAGAAACATATGTTTATTAATTCAATTTGATGGCAAGAAAAAAAGGAAGAAAAAGAACAGAACAAAGAACAAAAAAGTCAGATGTATCATTCGATTTTATGAAACTTGTCTTGTATTTGACTTGTCAATTTGAAAGTTCACTTAATTTTGCTGGTACCATCTTTTAAAAATAGTTCTTAAACTATAATTTACTGAATACGAAATAAATATATGTGAAGAAAATTTTGTTTTCACTGTTAAGCAACTCTAAACCAACCCTTAGTTTTACCATTATATATATATATATTGCTGTTAATATGCTTGAAACGTATATATACATGTATATGTATATATGTATGCACAATTCACTATATGCATGATCAATAACGGAGATTACATACAAATAGACAACACTAAGTTTTATTTGCTATTTGCATGATGCAGCACGACAATATCTGGGTGGGTGTTCACGATTGCAGCAGGATTTAATGCAGTTGCAAGGTATCATCGTATTCATTTACACTTCCAATAACTTCACCGGATCAGATTCATCAGATCTCTATTATTGCGTTAAATGACTCCTTTCATTTCATTCACACATGCATAACATAATATAAATACTACTTCTGATCTTCTTTTTTTTTGGCTACAAAAGGGGGCTAAAAGCCAAAACAAAATCAACACAAAATGTTTCTTGGGTTGACAGCGCCCACAACGTCCTTTTCTAACCAGAAACCAATTCCATCTGGCGGCTCTCATATCATCCTCGTCTCATTGGTTTGAAGGAAGCTCCAACTTCCGAAGAACTACAGTTGAATCAGACTCAATAATCACTCTTCTTTGAGGTAACAACTGCCGTAAACAGTGCCCACATCTCAGCCTCCACAACACTGCATCTCCCCACTCCTCGAGCAAAACCTCCTATCCACCTTCCCTCGTGGTCCCTAAAGGCCCCTCCACAATCAGCTGCCTTATCATTTCCTCTCACCGCACCATCAATATTCATTTTGATCCATCCTATTTCTGGTTTATCCCATTTTATCTGCATACAGACCTCCTGAACTCCCTTTTCCTTTTATTCCAGCATCTCTCTAATTTCCCTTACTTATGTATCACTACCAGTGGCTCATTTGGTCTCACAAAATCGGTTTCAAATAAATTGCGATTCCTCCACTGCCATAAAAGCCATATTGTTACCAGTAAAGACTGTCTTCCAGTCTCCCCAACCATCTTCCTTCCTACTCAAATTCTGCAAGGACCAATCATGAAGCGTCAAGTTGAAAAACACCTCCCACCTCCTTCCTCTCAGCAGCCTTTCCCAAACCTGCTTTGCCATCACACAATCCCTTAGGACATGCAAAGTATCCTCCTCTTTTTCCATACAGACCATGCAAATAGAGAGGTATTCAGCATTTTATTTCTTCTAACAGAGGTTAATAGACCCCCGTTAATAGCAATCCACATGAACACTAGCATTCTCCTGGGTCCCTTCCACTCCCAAATCTTCTTCCACACTACATCCGCCCCTTCTCTATTAATCTTTTAGGCAGTTATACATATCAGAAACTAGATAATTTCCTTTAGAATTTCCCAGCCATTTTATGGTATCATTAGCATCATCAACTCTAGGAGGTAAACAGCTTGTATTCTTTCTACAACTTCCTCAGGTAGGCACTCTCCTAACAAATCAATATTCCACTCACCATTTTCTGTTATGAAATCTGCCACATAAGCCTTTTCCTCTTCTTCATTCAGACTTCTAATACAATTCTCTTTCAAAGTAGCCACACTTGCTAACCATTTGTCCTCCCAAAATTTCACTCTCCTTCCATTCCTCACTTCCTAGCCAACATTCTTAAACATATCTTGCCACAAACCTCCCATTCTCTTCCATATCGCTGAGTCCCCTTTTTTCACTGCATACTCCCTTCCCAGTTCCACTCTTCTTCCATACTTTGCATCTAGTATTTTCGACACTAATTTCCTTGGTTTCGCCATCATCTCCCATCCAGTCTTGCAAAGCAAAGCATCATTCATTATTTTAAATTCCTTTAAACCATAACCTCCTAACTCCTTCGGCATACATAGACGTTTCCACCCAACAGCATGAAATTTCCTTTTGCCCTCTTCTTCTCTCCATATAAACTCTCGTTGTAGTTTTTCTAACTGCTCGCACACTCCTCTTGGAATGTCTTCATGCAGCATATGGTACATTGGCATTTGTTGAGTAACAGATTGCATTACTTCTAATCTTTAATATAAAAGTTAGTTGGCTAATTTGAATAGATTAAAAAAATTTATTAAGCTAGTTATTTATAATAAATAGACATTGTCTTTCTTAGAGTACTCTTACTAATTATGTGTATTAGTTAACATATGCAACTACTACAAAGTGCAATTACTACTTTGAAAATATGAGAGGCAAAGTGAATTGGAATTTTATATTTAGAATCAAATTAAAAATCAAACTAATTCTTATACTACCTCTGGTCCTTAATAGAAGAGCTCGTTTGACTTTTATTTTGGTTCTAAATATAATACCAAAATCTATTTTGTCTCTTATATTTATCCATCTTTTTCTAAAATAGTCCTTGTAATAATGGTAGTTCTAGTCAACGCATTTGATTGGTAAGAATATTTTAGGAAAAACAACACATATTTATTATAAATAATTAATTTAATTAGTTTTCTTAATATACTCAAATTAATCAACTAACTCTTATATTAACGACCGGAGGTAGTATTAAGAACTGGAGATAGTATTAACTTCTTCTTTTTTCACTTGTGATGTGTATACACACACACACATACAGTGTGAGGGTGGGGAACGAGGTTGGAGCGGGACATCCAAAATCAGCAGCATTTGCAGTTGTGGCTGTGACGACGGTGTCTCTGTCAATAGCTCTATTCTTCGCCATTCTTGTCCTCATCTTCCGCCATGTAATCAGTTATATCTTCACCGGTGGGACCACGGTGGCGAATGCTGTCTCAGAGCTTGCTCCTTTCTTAGCTGTCTCTATCATCCTTAATGGCATTCAACCTGTTCTCTCTGGTAATAACTCTGTTTTGCTTCTCACTTAATTATTACGATTGCCCGTGCAACTCTACTTATTAATTACAGTTCTATGCTAGGTTTGAGATACTAGTATTTTATAAGCGCGTTGGCACTTTTACATTGATTATTACCAAATTATGGATGAGTGCAAGACTTAACATGAAGCTGTAATGGGATTGTTGATTTACTGTTCTTTTATCTTGCTATACATAACTACAAAATAAAAGTAATATTTTGTTGTTCTGGGCTTAATATATATTACACCTCCCATCCTGAATATGAAAACTAGTCAAAAATTTAATTTAGTCATAAATATAAGATCTCAATCCATTTTGTTTCCCATATTTATTCATTGTTTTAAAGTAGCTAGTCCCCATGTTAATTACACATATTAAAAAATTAACGAGAGTTTTTTAGAAAAGAAACATTTATTTATTATAAATAACTAAGTTAATTAATTTTTTTTAATTTTTATATATTAGTTATCTAGTTCTTATATTGATAAGTGGAAGTAGTATACATGAAGCTATAATGGGATTCTTTCTACATGTTTTTATAGTTGATTTAATTTAGATATGTTTTTGTACATAGAATCTGAGTGCACACGCACACGCACGGGCACCCACATATATGAGGATAATTAATATACAAATCTTTATAGTTTTAACTAATGTTTAGTCAGTCCTTGTAATTTTTTTGCTATTAGGTTTTTATAGTTTTACCGTATTTTTAATTAAGTCTTTGTAATTTGAAGTAACTAATAGAAAGGAAAAGAAACTACAAATACCTAATTAAAAACAGATGAAACTATAAAGACCTAACAAAAAACTATAAAGAAAATCTAATTAAAAATCATGCGAAATTTTAAGGGCTTGCAAATTAATTATCCCATCTATATTTATAGTATCTAACAGTCAAGTAATGATCGATAAATTTTGGATGGATGAGTAGTTGATAAAAGTAGGTGCATGTATGTGTATGAAAATGAAGGAGTAGCAGTTGGATGTGGATGGCAAGCTTTTGTGGCATACGTCAATGTGGGATGCTATTATATCATTGGGATACCTTTGGGGGTCCTTCTTGGTTTCAAGTTTGATCTTGGTGCTAAGGTAATTAATTGACTTCCACCATTCTTTAATTTAAACTCTAATAATTGTTAGACGCACACACAAATATCAATATATAGAGTTAATATAATTAATATAAAATTACTTGTTTTGTGAATATATATATATTATTGTAGGGAATATGGTCAGGAATGATAGGGGGAACTTTCATCCAGACTTTGATCCTCATCTGGGCCACTTGCCGAACTGATTGGATTAAAGAGGTAATTAATCTAGTTTACAAGTTTCTAGTTTTAATGAAACTTATTTTCTAATCAAAATTTTTAGTGAATAAATTAAATTAGAGAGAGACACACACGGGGAAAAACACATTAGATAAGAAAGATTACACATACTTTTTTAATTCTATTTATAAGTTACTTCTAATATGTTTTACCAGGAGAAAAACCAAATCTTATTTCATTAACTTTGTCTTAAAATTTAGCAATTCTATAACTTTATTCCTATTTAATATATGCACTTAAAAAAAAACAATATACACAATAATGAAAGAAGCGTAAAATAATATATTCATGATATGAATTTAATGATGTGACTTATAAATGAATAAAAAAACCTTATTTTTCTTCTTTGCTTTATAAATAAGATCAGAAGGAAGAAGGGGGGGAGAGAGAGAGTGTGTGTGTGTGTGTGTGAATACTCCATTCCTAATCTAAACACTAGTTGGGGAGCTAATTTTGATCATAAATATAAAACCTCAATACACTTTATCTTTTATATATTTGTCGTTCTTTCCAAACTAATTATCCAACTATTATAAAATGATATCTAATATAATGTCACATAAGGGTATTTTAGGAAAATTATTAAGTTGTTTTTGCTATAGTTAACTAATTTATCTGATTTTTTTTATTATATTCAAATTAATTAAGTAGCTTTTATATTATAGATGGGAGGAGTATAATTTTTTGCTTTTAAAAACAAAAGAAAAAAGTTTACTTATAGCCTCTTACAATCTAAGGAGCTAAACTCGGTGAAAGATAAAATATCAACAACACTAGTCATGATATGATGAGCTGATTTCACAAACCATTCAATTAGTTTGGCTTCCCTTAAAAGGCTTAGATTGATATCTAATTTTACATATATGACTGATATAAAAAGTTTTCAATTATAATTGAATATAAAATGCATAAATGAATAAAATTTTTTGGAGTGAAGACATGGAGATATAAATTACTCCTCTGATCCTTAATATAGTACCTAATTGTTGAGTTGGTTTTAGTCCTAAATATAAGACTCGTTTCTATATTTATTAATTTTATCTAAATTACCCCTATGGATACTCCCTCAACCATAATCAAGTAAAAGAGAGAGATGGAGTATTAAAAAAGATGATTATGGTGTTTTAGGAAAAATATATCACATTTCTTATAATTAACTAACTTACCTAACTTTTTTAATCTAATCAAATTAATTAAATGGGTCTTATATTAAGGATTGGAAGAGTACTAGAATTTGACAAGTGTGGTTTGTACAGGTTGAAAAGTCAAAGAATCGATTAGTATTGTGGGAAGACAAGAAGGACGAGGAGGATAAGGCCACTTCAGATGATTGAAACTAAAAGAATAAATGCGACCCTCCTTTTGTTTCATTCTGTGCAAGGTGCTTTAATTTTATGAAATGGTGAGCTATTACATATTAGTAGTATTTAATCTGCTGGCCATTTCTGTTCCCTCAATCCTTTTTTAATTTTAATTAACATACATTTATGTTGTCCGCCAAGGATTCATATGTTTTCCTCGTACACAGTCACGTGCCCTATTTTTAAATATTTTATTAAATTATAAATTCATGTGAAAAAGCAGAACACATGGTTATAGTTACACGTAATTGAATGTGACATAATAGGCATAAAAAAGTTAGGTATTTTTCATAACTTAAAGAGCACATAAACATCCAAATCTCGTGAATTTTATCTGTTTATTTAAAAAAAAATAATTGACACGGAATAGATCGTAAAAAAAAAAAAATTCAAGATAGAGAATATAAATTCTCAAGTACTTGTTGCTTTGGAATTAGATGCGTGAGTTAGTGCAGTTTTAGAATGGGATAACAGCAAATCAAAGTTTGTTCGATTCAGCTTTTACATTTTGCCAGCAAGTGGGGCAAAATGGGCCGATTGAAGCATCTAATTCATTCCAAAGGCATAATTCCTGCATATGCCGAAACGCTTGCGTTTCAGAATGGGTGAAGGTATTCACGCGAGTTGTGTTGAGCAAAATGCTCTAGTCTCTCATAATACTCCTCTGGTCCTTAATATAAGACTCATTTAACTAATTTGATTAGATTAAGAAGTTAGGTAAGTTGGTTAATTGTAAGAAAAGTGACACATTTTTTCTAAAATACATAATCATCTTTCTTAATACCCTCTCCCTCTTCTACTTGATTATAGTTAAAGGAGTATCTATAGGGTAATTTAGAGAAAATTGATAAATATGAGAAATGGGTCTTATATTTAGGACCAAAACCAACTCAAGAATTGGGTTCTATATTAAGGACCAGAGGAGTATAACAAATTAAGATAATATTTGAATCTTTATTGAAAAACATACACATATTTAGTATTCGATAATGTTTTGAACAAAATTACCTATAATAAGAGGATGTCAAAGTCTTTGAAAAAAAAAAAAAAGAATCCGTAGGAGATTGTCCATGATGTGGTCTATGAGCTGTGTTAAATTTGAAGAATTAGTTGTATTGGTTAAAATTTTCAAGTTATGAATCGTTAAAAGGGTCTCTACATCGTGAAACATGATGGTATAAGCACATTTATTGCTTCTTAAAATGATCACCTGCAATTTTAGAATTAAAAACCTTGTATTTAAGATCGCTACGATATGAAAAAATTACAACTTTATTTTATAAAATTTTTCCTGTATAAATTTTCCAAGCAACTTACAATAGTGTTTGTTTTGAATTAAAATCGCTTACTTTCTTTACTTTCTCTTTCATTCACGTTGTTTGAATCACATTTGAAACGCATTAGTTTGGTGACTCTGCTTTTTATTTGGATAAATGGGTAATTTTATTCTTGATCTTGTTTTCAAGGTGCATTAATACCTCAATCTTTTTAGTGGTGTAATTTTACCTATCATTTTTTTTGTTACAATTTTACCTATATATTTTTTTTATTTTGATGCACTTAAGAAATAAAATCAGATGCAAAATTGCACAGAAAATGATCATGGGTTAAATGACAAAAAAGATATTATGAGTAAAATTGCACCACTAAATATCATCAAAAAGTGGTAGGTTAGGTTGACAAAATATAATATACTTAGTATTATCATGGGGCTTATTATTGGGGTGAAATTTTTATTATCTAAATGTAGTTTTAATATCCTAAATATAAGATTTTTGATTGATAATTTTAAATTTTTTTTTTTTGAAAAATAATACTCCCTCTAGTTTATTTATAAGCTTCAAATTTATATAGGGGTATAGTTTATTTTATAAGCTTTAATTTGGGTTTGTCTTAACATTTAATGCATTTTTTTAATTTTGTCTTTAATTATTTATTCTATCTTCTTTACACTATATCTTTTATATTTGAAAATAAAAGTATATTTCTTACTTATATATTACGTTTAACAAACTGATTTTTTTCATTATACGTAAATTGATTATTTAAAGCTTATAATAAGAGTAAAAGAGAGTAATTAAGAGATGAGTAATTTTATTTTACATTCTTTATGTATTAAATATTAAATCATTAAATGCATAAAAATAAAATTATATTAAACCTAGATTATTTAAATTTAATTTAATCGGACAACTTAGATTCGGTTCTTATCACCTAGGTGATGAGCAGCAAAATTAAATTTGAGACAGCAAACAGTAACCTGCTAGGGCAAGTCCTCCTAAATTCATGTTTTAAGATGAACTAAATATTAGTACATAAATACATAATCAGCTATATTTACTTAATAAATGAGAACCACACGAAAGCTCATCCATATTAAACTTTTGGATTAAAATTATGATTAATTATTTTCTGAATTGATAATTACAACTTTATTTCTGTTCTCCGTTTTTTTTTTTATAATTTTAGACTGCGTAGTATAAAAAATGATTCTTAAATAAATAAATAAAGACTGTAAAAATTGGAAAATTCTAGATCAAAATTCGTTATTGTACGTTAACAGGTTTTTATAACAACTGACTTACAAATAATAACATATTTTTATTAAAATATATTACTTAAAATTTTGTAATTTTCATGATTTTTTTGTCATTTCCCCCTCTTTTATGAGGAATCAAAGCAACGAAAGTAATAATAGCATATATCTTTTCTATATTAATTGTTTTCCTCAGGTCGTTTTGATATTTTGGTACCAAAAAGGGCCATTGTTGATTTCATTTTTTTTTTTTTTTTTCATTCCCCGTGTACATCACTTGCATTCCTTTGTATCTTATATTCCCCATCTTTCATCCTTTTAATGCGCCAGTCACAAGAAAACAAGCATATCATCACTTCTCTTCGCCGCCTGCGAGATATAGCTTTACATGGAGTCGCCGGAAGAAGACCTTCACCGGCCCATCTTGAACTCAACTTCATCGCCGCCGGTGGGTCAGGAGGAACATGCAGAAGCTAACAGCGGCGGAGGAAGTCATATAGTAATAGTTGATTCTAGACTGGAAAATGTTCTCTCAGATACCAGCCTGCCGTGGCTCAAGAGGCTCCGATCGGCGACGTGGATTGAGCTGAGCCTGCTCTCCCCACTCGCCGCTCCGGCCATCTTCGTCTACCTCATCAACAACCTCTTGTCGAGTTCCACCAGAGCTTTCGCCGGCCACCTTGGCAACCTCGAGTATGCTGCCGCCAACCTTGGCCACAGTGGCGTTCAGCTCTTTGCGTACGGCCTCATGGTATACTATTGCATATCATCAATCCTTTATTCATTTGCATTTTATGTTAAATTTTACATTTTTTAAAAAAGTATCTTACGATTTCTCTAAAAATTTTACAAGATCTTGATTAATCCAAGATTAACAGGCCATTTAATTTCTTTTTTTGTAGAATTCTCCCTAAATTAAATTGTATGGGTATAACTGAATAAGGCTTTCCCCATACAATTTTTTTTTTCCAAACAGGAATTTGAGATCTTTTCTTAAGAGAATAAACAAGTGCCGACACCTTTGATTAATTTAAATGGCCTATTAATTGTTCTCTTCTACTTTTTCTCCAGCTACTCTGCTAGTACTGGTAAGCAATTTTCAATACACCACTGCATAGAAAAGTTTATTCCTATATATATATATATATATATATATATATATAAGTCACTGATAATTAATCTCCTTTTTCTAATTTTATTTTTATTGAATACAATAAAGAAAATAGGCGAGACTCCAGAGCATATTTTTTTCAACACCTAACAGAGGTAAGTGTGAAAAATTTAATGCATTTCTTAGTATGTTAAACTAGAGTACAAGTCATTCACATACATAAGCAGAGCTGTATTTTACAGGAATAAAAAAAACCCTAAATTTTATTAATTTTATCTCAAAATTTAATAACTTTTTAATTTTATCCTTATTTGATACATACTCTTTTAGTCTTATTTATAAGTCGCATCTAACATATTTTACTTGGATCAAGAAAAATCTTGAGAATCATTAACTTTATTTAATAATTTAATAAATTTTTAAATTTATCCCTATTCAATATATATTTTTCAACAAAATAAAAATCTATATAATAATAAATAAAGGATAAAATAATATATTTATATAAAAAATTTAATAATGTGACTTAAAAATAGAAAAAGTACACATTTTCTCTGCAATTTGCAAATAGAATAGGAGGAGTATATTTTCTGAAAAATCATCAATCTACATAATAATAAATTAAAAGTAAAATTGTATGTTCATGTAATATTTAATTTGTTTTGCAAAAGTTGGGCATGGGAAGCGCGGTGGAGACGCTGTGCGGGCAAGCCTACGGTGCGCACGAGTATGGACTGCTCGGTGTGTACATGCAGAGGGCAACCATAGTGCTGACCCTAACCGGGATTCCACTAACCCTGGTTTACATATTCGGCAGACAAATCCTGCTCTTGATCGGCGAATCAACGGCTATCTCATCAGCGGCTGCCATCTATCTGTATGGCCTGATCCCACAGATGTACGCTTACGCCGTGAACGTCCCCATACAGAAGTTTCTCCAATCGCAGAGCATTGTGGCTCCCAGTTCTTACATTTGCGCAGCCACCCTCGTGCTTCACGTACTGCTCAGTTGGGTGGTGGTCTTCAAGTTGGGCTTGGGCCTGATTGGGGCCTCTTTGGTGTTGAGCCTCTCTTGGTGGATCATGGCGGTGGCCCAATTTGTGTACATTGTTGGGTCTGGAAGGTGTAAGCATACGTGGACCGGGCTTAGCTTGCAGGCCTTTCATGGGCTTTGGGCTTTTACGAAGCTATCGGCAGCTTCCGCTATCATGTTATGCCTCGAGATGTGGTATCTTCAGGTGCTGGTTTTGATCACTGGCTTGCTCGATGATTCTGAGCTTGCTCTTGATGCTATTTCTGTTTGGTAAGCCCTTTTTTTTTTTTTTTTGTAAAGTTACCTTTCAAGGTTAGGAGTTATCGCCTCCGGTCCTCGTTATAAACAATGTTTTATAATTAGAACCGGAAGTGGTATTAAATAATTAATCTAAAAAGATTAAAATAATAATTTAGGATCAAAATAAATCCCTAAACTAATTCTTCTCCAAGAGAGTGTTTAATATGGCTTGCAAATGTGGGTTCTGAACTTCTGATGTAATGGATGGTTATAATAAATGTGGTGGCATGCAGCATGGCAATAACAGGACTACTGTTTCAGATTGGAATTGGATTTAATGCAGCTGCAAGGTGAGTCATATTTAATTTGCTGATATAATACTGCTTCTTATGCTTTTTATGAGGTCCAAATTACTGAATTGATTCTGTCATTGAAAAAAAAAAAAATCCTCTGTGAGATTGTCTGAACATTAAATAGATTTTTATCAATTTTACTTCTAATTAAATGCATTATTTTTCAACATGCATTCTATTTTATCTTCTCTCTTTTTTCACTATGTCAATGTCTCACTTGCCCTTGAGGGGCATATTTGGAGAATTAAAAAGTATATTTTAAATATATTTATTATTTTTACCCCTCTCTCTCTCAACCTCTTTTATATAAATGATGGCATATTTAGAAAATAAAAATATACCTTCCTTGCATATTTATTATTTTGAATTAATGTTAACAAATTTCTCAAACCACGTAATTTGGTTATTTTATTTGGATCTTATAAAAATAATGGGAGGTAATATTAATTAAGTTTAAAGAAGTAGGATGATTGTGAATGATGATGAACATGTGGGCACATGGATGTAACAGCGTGAGGGTGAGCAATGAGCTGGGGGCTGGGAATCCAAAGGCAGCAAAATTCTCAGTAGTGATAGTAAACACAGTGTCGTTGGTGGTGGCGGTGATAGAAGCCATGGTGGTGCTCGCTCTCCGCCACGTCATCAGCTATGTTTTCACTGACGGCGAAACTGTGGCGGAGGCCGTCTCTGATCTCTGCCCTTTCTTGGTCGTCACCCTCATCCTCAATGGCGTTCAGCCTGTATTGTCCGGTAACTCTCCTCCCCCTCTTCTCACTGAGAAAGATGATGAGAGCAAGAATGCATGAAACGAAAGAGAAGGTTGTTTATGGTGTAGGGGTGGCTGTTGGGTGCGGATGGCAAGCCCTGGTGGCTTATGTGAACGTGGGCTCTTATTATGTTGTTGGGGTTCCACTTGGTTGTCTCTTGGGCTTCAAGTTCAACCTTGGCGTTAAGGTGCTACTCTCATTCCCTTTTGTTTTGTTCAAAAGGATTTTTTTGCCAGACAAAAATTGGTTTAATTAGTAAGAAGTCAGCTTATATCTCATAAGATCCTAAGTTCAAATTCTACTGCCAACAGTGAGAATTTTGTTTGTGGGTGATCTATAAGTATTTCTATAAGCGTTATTTAAACCTGAGGCGTGCCCTCAAGAACTAACTCTCCTAAACTTTACCCAAAAAAGAAGAATTTTTTAATTGTAAAATTCTTCTATCTATTGTTTTCCCTGAATTATAAAAGTGTATACGGTACAAAATAACTGCCATGCGAAAGAGAACAAATACACATCACAAATTCAATATCTTATCAGTAATCTTAGACTATTAGTATCTGTCCCTTTAAATAATTAAAAAAAATCAGCACATACACTTGGAAACTAATTACTGATAATTCCTACATCTAAGCATTGATCATTCCTTAGATTCTCCTTCAAATTGGATTTGCAAGTTATGAAGAATGGTGAAAATGAAATGCATGTAGGGAATATGGACAGGCATGATGGGTGGAACTATGATGCAGACTCTGATTCTGCTATGGATCACTGCTCGCACTGATTGGAATCATGAGGTAACTGACTTCACCCCCCCCCCAAAATCCAAATCCCACTCTCTAGAGCCCATTATTAACTGTTGGGCTTCAAAACCCAAAATGATTGGGCTTGGCCCTATAGTTCACGGCTGACTCATGTGAAATGGGGACAATCCACAGGTGGACAAAGCTCAGAAGCGAGTTCGCAAGTGGCACGATCAGAAAGAGGCTGAGAATGAGCAGCACCCCGGTTGATTTCCATAATAATATATAATTAGTTGGTTTCATGATACTTAAATGTAAATGAATGAAGTAAAGTGGGCATGTACAAAGAGAAAGCATTGAGAGGTGACATTTGATTCCATGATTTTGCGTTTGTTTGTTTTTGTTTTTTGTTTTTCTTGTTACAAAAACAATTTTATAAAATTGTTTCTTGAAACAAGTTTTGAGAATAAAACAAACAAAAACATATGTTTGGATAATTATTATAGAAAAGCACATTTAAAAAAAATTAAAAATTACATTTGCGAAGTGGTGGCTGTCACCGACAATAATACGTGACAGGCGGTAGGTAAGAAAAGAAGAAGGTTTCTCCAATTTTTTAACATAAAAAGTACAAAATATGAAAAAAAAAATATTTAAAACTTGTTTCGGTCTTTTAGTTTTCAGAACCATGATATTGTTTTTTTTTAAACAACCAATTAAAAACAAATTGCCAAAAATGTTTTTGTTAAATTTTTTTGTTTTTAAAAATTTTTTTTTCGAAACAAAACAAAACAAGCGCTACATTTTTCTTTTGTTTTGTTTTTATTTAAACAAGCAAGCATTAATAGCTTGGAATTACAAGTAAAATCAATCTTGCGACCTCTCATTTAAAAGAAAAGAAGAGCTTTCAAGTCGGTAAGCTAGCTACAAGGCCTTTTGTAAATTATATTTGCTCATTGATAATGGTATTTTCTCACAAACTAAATCAGCCTTTTATTCTTCTTATAAATGCATGGAATGATGAGGAAAAAAATAATTTGAAAGGATATGAAGTAGCATCGGGCTGCAGTAACTAAGACGCCAAGGAGTAAATAGAGTCATTCATGGCTAAAGATTTAAAGCCTAGCTCTTTCTTGATTAGCAGTATATAGATTTGAGAGATAAATTAGTAGTTAATTACTCATTAATCAATAAAAGAGGACTATATATACACACATTATCTCCGATCCTTAATATAAGACCTAGTTGATTAATTTGGAGAGGTTAAGAAAATTATTTGAGTTAATTATTTGTTATAAATAGGTATTGTCTTTCCTAAAATACCATTGCTAATCATTTATATTAGCTAGAATTACCATTTGATAAAACATTTAACATGTGTAACTACTACAAGGATTACTTTGAAAAAAATAAATAAACATGAAAGATATAGTGAATTGGAGTCTTATATTTATGATTAAATTAAAAGTCAAACAAGTTCTTATACTTTTCTATTCCTTAATATAAGACCCATTTAACTAATTTGATTAGATTAAGAAAGTTAGGTAAGTTAGTTAATTATAAAAAAAGTGACACGTTTTTTCTAAAATACCATAATCATCTTTCTTAATACCCCTCCTTCACTTCTACTTGATTATGGTTAAGGGAGTATTTATAGGGGTAATTTAGAAAAAATTGATAAATATGAGAAATTGGTCTTATATTTATGACCAAAATCAACTCAACAATTGGATCTTATATTAAGGACTGGAGGAGTAATTAATTAACTTCCACCATTCTTTAATTTAAACTCTAATAATTATTAGACGCACACACAAATATCAATATATAGAGTTAATATAATTAATATAAAATTACTTGTTTTGTGGATATATATTATTGCAGGCAATATGGTTAGGAATGATTGGGGGGAACTTTCATCCAGACGTTGATCCTCATCTGGGTCACTTGCCGAACTGATTGGATTAAAGAGGTAATTAATCTAGTATACAACTTTCTAGTTTTAATGAAACTTAATTTCCTAATCAAAATTTTTAGTGAATAAATTAAATTAGAGAGACAAACACATGGGGAAAAACACATTAGATAAGAAAGATTACACACACCTTTTTAATTCTATTTATAAGTAACTTTTAATATGTTTTACCAAGAAAAAAACCAAATCTTATTTTACTAACTTTGCCTTAAAATTTAGCAATTCTATAATTTTATTCCTATTTAATATATGCACTTTTCAAAAAAATAACAATATACATAATAATGAAAGAAGTGTAAAATAATATATTCATGTTGTAAATTTAATGATGTGACTTATAAATACATAAAAAACATTATTTTTTTTCTTTGCATTATAAATAAGATCAGAAGGAAGGAGGGAGGGAGAGAGTGTCTGTGTGAATCCTCAATCCTTAATATAAAAACTAGTTGATGAGCTAATTTTGATTATAAATATAAGATCTCAATGCATTTTATCTTTTATATATTTATCATTCTTTCCAAACTGATTATCCAACTATTATACAATGATATCTAATATAGTGTCACATAAGGGTATTTTAGGGAAATTATGAAGTTGTTTTTGTTATAGTTAACTAATTTATTTGATTTTTTATTATATTCCAATTAATTAAGTAGCTCTTATATTATAGATGGGAGGAGTATCATTTTTTTGCTTTTAAAAACAAAAGAAAAAAGTTTACTTGTAGCCTCTTACAATGTAAGGAATTAAACTCAGTGAAAGATAAAATATCAACAACACTAGTCATGATATGATGAGCTGATTTCACAAACCATGCAATTAGTTTATTTATTGGCTTCCCTTAAAAGGCTTAGATTGATATCTAATTTTATATATCTGAGTGATATAAAAAGATTTCAATTACAATCGAATGCAAAATGCATAAATGAATAAAATTTTATGGAGTGAAGACATGGAAATATAAATTACTAAAACTTGACAAGTGTGGTTTGTACAGGTTGAAAAGTCAAAGAATCGATTAGTATCGTGGGAAGACAAGAAGGACAAGGAGGATAAGGCCACTTCAGATGATAGAAGCCAAAAGAATAAATGCGACCCTCATTTGTATTATTCTCTGCAAGGTGCTTTGATTTTATGAAATGATGAGCTAATACATATTACTCCTCCAGTTATAAATATAAGACTTTTATACTAGTGTGTATAAAGATATTATATTTAGGACTAGAAGAGTAGTATTTAATATACTGGCCATTTCTTTTTCCTCAATCCTTTTTTAATTTTAATTAACATATATTTATGTTGTCCGCCAAGGATTCATATGTTTTCCTCGTACATAATCACATGCCCTATTTTTAAATATTATTATTTGATTATAAATTTACGTGAAAAAAACAGAACACATAGTTATGGTTATATGTAATTGGATGTGAGATAATAGGTTAAAAAAAACTTGGGTATTTTTGATAACTTAAATAGGTCTCACGTACGAAAACATCCAAATCTCGTGAATTTTATCTGTTTATTTAAAAATAATAATTGACACCGAATAGATAATTAAAAAAATTCAAGATAGAGAATATAAATTCTCAAGTGCTTGTTGCTTTAGAATTGGATGCACGAGTTAGTGGAGTTTTAGGGTGGGTTTGGATGAAACCAAACCGTGGTTTAGAAAAGTGATTCTGAAGAATAGATTCTGGAAAGAATAGATTTTATGAAAAAGTGATTTTGAGAAGTGAAAGTGTTTGGATAGTTGTTATCAGAAGCACTTTTTATATATACAAATTACTAAAAAAAAGACATAAGTTAATATGATAATTACAGAAAAAATAGATTTTATAATGTATTTTAATTTGAAGGAATAAAATTGTTAATAATATATTTTTTATTAACATAATTAATAATACATAAGATAATATAATTAATAAATAATTAATATGTATATATATTTATAAAATATAAGATTAAATATGTTTATAAAAAAATATGTTTATAAAAAAAATAACATGATACATATCCTATAGGCTCTCACACTCTCCCTTTTTTCTCCAAAAGCAAAAATTTTTTGCTTTTTTCAGAATCATAGTTTTGGAGCCAAAACCATGATTTTGATTTTTGAGTGGGTGTTTGGGTGATTTATTCTCCAAACCATGGTTTGAGTCCCCAAACCATAGTTTAGAACGTCACCCAAACACAGCCTTAGAATGGGATAACAGCAAAGTTTGTTCGATTCAGCTTTTACATTTTGTCAGCAAGTGGAGCAAAATGGGCCAATTATTGAAGCATCTAATTCATGATCCAGTGACATAATTCATGGGTGTCTATGTCTTAAAAAAAAAAAAAAAGGAATCAGCAGAGGATTGTGCATGATGTGGTCTATGAGCTGTGTTAAATTTGAAGAATTAGTTGTATTGGTTAAAATTTTCAAGTTATGAATCGTTAAAAGGGTCTCTACATCATGAAACATGATGGTGTAAGCACATTTATTGCTCCGTAAAATTACAACTTGTTTTATAAAAATTTTCCTACATAAATTTTCAAAGCAACTTACAATAGTGTTTGTTTTGAATTAAAATCGCCTACATTCTTTACTTCCCTCTTTCATTCACGTTGTTTGAATCACATTTTTTTTTGAATAAATATTAGATAACATAGATTCACCAAGAAAATTAACTTCCCTTATCAACCACCCCCTCTTGCCTGAAAGGTGGAGGTTGATCAAGGATACAAAAGTTTGCCCCCATGTGGTGAGACGCCTTTGCTAGGTAATCAACCAATGACAAATTATACCTAGGGGAGTGTCTTACAATAACCTGCAAGTTCCTATGTAAGGCTAACCAATTTTTGTCAATAATATCTCTGAAAGGATTATTAGCATCACATCCTCTTACAACCAAATTGATCGCCTCAATACAATCAGAATAAAGCATAACCGATCTATAACCCTTAGCCTAACAAATGTTAAGGCCACACAAAATAGAAAAAATTTCAGCAATGGCAGGAGGAACTAAGGTGAGTTTGCAGCTGAATCATGTGATCCATTGTTCTTTTTTATTTTGAATCACTCCACCGCATCCACTTCTTCCATCCTGTAGGACTAATCCATCTACCTCCAAAGTGATATAATCTTGCAATGGGGGTGAGGGATCTATAGATCTCCTGTTCGTATTGCTGAAAAGGCCACAACCTTTAATTATATCATTATCCATACAGGCTCTAAAAAAACTCGCTTGGACATTCTGATTCTCACTAAACTCCGTCGCCCCAAAAAGCTGTTTACATCTAGCGGTCCAAATGTCCTAGCAAACGTAGCCAAAGAGTGTGGTCCATTGGAGTTTTTTAGTAGACTACTTCCCGCTTCATGCTTCAAGTTCCAGTGAATCCATTCTGTTCCCTCTAAGGAGGAAAAATATCCCTAGCAGGACTAGGAAACAACAATTTGCCATCTCCTTAAAGCATTAG